AGTCGTCACGGTGAACACGCCCAGCGTGGTTTTAAGTGGAGCGCATGGGTGCGGTCTGGAAGGGATTTTTTTAATTGGTTGTTAAATGTGAAAATTATATAACTTAAAGAAAATTGGTTTATTTTATTAAATAGCATTTTATTTTAAATATTACATGCTCATTATAAAAATTTTGTAAAATATTGAAAACTTTAGATCATATTATAAATATTTTTGTGTTCTTTATTCTTAATATCATTTTAAGCTATTCCCAATGCCATTAAAGATATGCTTTGAGATACTTAACGGTTGGGTAATGTCTAGTCTTAAGGATTTTCATAATTTATCCAACCTCCTACCTAGAGTTCCCAGTTTTTCATTACTACAAACAGTGAAATCCATCCTTATTTCATCACATCATTGCCAACTCTAAGCATTATAAGGCATTCTTTACAATTTATAGGAAAAAATAATATACCTTGAGTTTTTTAGTGATGACAAAGAACTTTTTTTGTTACTGGCATCTGTGTACATTCTTTTGTGAAGATACTTATTTCTTTAATTTAGAAAGATAACTGATTTTTAAAAAATTCAGCTTAAATAGGAATGTTGGTCTGTGCAAAGGAATATACTTAGATGTTGCTAAGTATTTGAGAATTATGTGCAGTGTAGCTGGAAAATGGCAAGTTACATGAAATCACTAGGTAGAAACAAGGCAGGAAGGACTTCCTGTAGGTTCCTGAGTTCTTTAGCAAATATCATCCACTCAGACATTAGCTTCATTGTTGTATACTGGGCCAGAGCACGTTTTCATTGCACTCCGCTTCCCTGAAGTACAATACATGTCAGTACTGCCCTTTTTAGTGATGAGAAAATCGCATGGTTGTCCACACTTCATTACACAACATTTTCATTTTAACTTGAGCTTCATGCATGTTTTGCTAGTAAAAAATTTGAATGTCTGGAAAGGAGAAGGCTAGTTCCAAAAGAGTCAGTAGCCTGATTTCTACTCTGAGCCCACAGAAAGCCCGGCTTCTTTCCTATTTCCTTTAGCTTCTGGGGCCACTTTTACCACCTGCCGGATGAGGGATTTCTTCATCAGGCGGAATTAGAGCAGGGGCGTCAAACTCACTTTCACTGGGAGCTGCGGCAGCCTCTCATTTGCCTTCACAGGGCCAAATGTAATTTTAGGACTGTATAAGTGTGACTACTCCTTATCTAGGGGCGAGGGGCGAGGAGCTCAGCGCTGCCGCCGGGTAGAAACAAGGTGCCGGGCCGGATAAAACAAGGCAGAGGGCCGGATTCGGCCTTCGGCCCTCGGGCCTTGTGTTTGCCACCTTTGACCTAGAGGGAGTAGGTGGAAGGTGGGCCCAAGAGAGTTTCTTTCTGGCTTTCCTAGAAAGAGCTTTTTTTCTCCTCTGTTTTATTACTTTTTTACTTTCTTCAAGTGCTGTATTTTTCTTTAAAAATAGTTCCAGTTTCATTGCAAACCATGACAAGAATTCATGTTCCACCTCATTCTACTTAGAACACATTCAGGAAGGTGTTTTGTTTTTGTTTTGTTTTTTCTTAAAAAGAAGTAGGTTTGTTTTAGTGCAGTAAGACCTTCTCCAGAGCACTCTTGAGCCCTGGCTAGTTTTTGTGTGAGTCTCTAGTCATGTAGTAAATTAGATGTTCCTCGCATCATGTATACATATGGTTTTATTTTCTGTTGTGTCAGGTTGCATTTAATGTCAGCAAGAATTCATACTTCATATATTAACAACCAGACAGAATAGAGGTCATATTGTTGGGAGCCTTTTTGTGCTGTGATTTTTGCGTAGCATTTAATCATTTATTATCTGTGCTTCACAGGTTCGTTGTGGCCTGTTCAGCCTGGAAGTCATGTCCGGAGACGGATGCAGAAAAGCTGGTTCAGCAGGTTTTCCGTGCGTTCAGTGATATGATGCAGCTGATGACCTCTGCTCATCTTTAGAGACTGGTTATTCATGAAGCACTGACCAAAATAGATCATTTAAACTGGGTCCTGGGAGTGGGCTGGTGAAGTAAGATAGGGAGGAATGTTGACTTGAAGGAAATGTAGAAATTAGAAGAATCATGTCCTCTAAATTTATTCTGACACAGAAAGAAGAAATATCATTTTTTTAGCTTCCTCTGATGCAGCAGCAATGCAAATTTTTATAGAGTGAATATAGAACTATGCAAAGTTTAAGGTAATCCTCAACAATGCAAATCTACAAGTTTTAACAATGCAAGTCTTAACTTTAACTTTTAAATATTTTTATAGGTACCTGTATAGATTATAAATTCTCTCCCTGAACATCATTGTAGAGCAGTGATTTTCAACCTTTTTCATTTTGTGGCACACACAAATGAATTACTAAAATTCTGTGGCACACCAAAAGAATGTATTTTTGCCAGTCTGACAAAATAACAGGTATGATTTTGCTTCATTCGCACCAGATGGTTATTGTTGTGTTGGCTGTTGTCATTTTCTTACTTGGTGGCCTGAGGGAAAAGAGGCCAGTGCCCCTGACTAAATAAATAGTCAGGTATTGCATGTTTTAAAAGCTGTTGCTGCGCACCGGGTTGGAAACTGCTGTTGTAGAGTCTATCTTTCAAGCACTTTAACATTTTCTAGTTGCCAAAGGGTACGGAATACATGACTTGGGTGCTCATTTCCCTGGAATCAATGTCTTTCGCAGTCACCACAGGGACACGACGCTCACTGTGTTGGGGAAAGTCCACTGCACTTGAACGGTGACGTGACAGAAGCAGTTTCTCTTGGACAGATGGAAGAATTAAATTGTAGGAAGATTTACACCCTCTGACACATAAAAAAATCCTAACACAATTTATTTTAGTATGTTATTGTAATTAGTTTTGTGAATATAAAATTAAAGCACTTATATATAAAACTAGATGTCAGGATTAATGACTTTAAAAGGATTAAATGTGGAATCATGTTCTCAGGATTACGCTTTTTTTCCTCAGTTCAATTTTGTAGTTTCTACCCTCAGAAAATAAAACTTAAAATCATGTAGCTTCTTGTTTTGTTTGGCTGATTCGTTCCTGTCTGACTTTATACTTTCTGATCTGTTGCATATTGTTGTGTAATAAATCATCGCGCCCAACTTACTGTCTCCCAAAAATTTATTATTTCCATGACTGTGCCAGTCGATTGTGCCATTTGGAGTTTCTGCTGGTCTTGCCCACGATGCTTATGCCGCTGCCACCTCAGGCTGCTGGACTTCAGCCCGTAAGGCTGAGAGGGCTTCACCCACTGTCTGGGGACTTGGTGGCTGGGACTCCTGCTCCTCGTGCTGCCTGACTGTTCACTATTTTAACTGGGACCTTTGTACTTGGCACTGGGAGTGGTCTAAGAGGGAAAGGTAGAAGTTGCAGGGCCATTGGAGGCCTGGGCTCTGAAGTCCCATGATGTCACAACTTTTGCGTCCTGTTGGTTAAAACAAGTTACAAGAGCAGTCCAGACTTAAGGGGTCGGGGGAAAGTCTCATCTTTTCTCAAGTCATTTTGTAAATACCTTTGTATACGAGCGGGCACAGGAGAGGACCTGACTGAGTGGGAGCTCCCATTTCTGTAGTACTCTATCACGTAAAGATTATATCTAGTATACTGGTTGGATGTTCTTTTTGTTCTTACATTTTTATATGTTCTGAATTTGACAAGACCATATTATTTCTTTGTAAAAAACCTTCCGAGTTGGCTTCCATGGCATTTGGTGTCTGAAGTATGGACCCTCTTCCTCACTAGTACAGTTTCGTAGGCTACATTCCCAGGTACTTTACAATCATTGGGTTGGTTGTTTCTAAGTAATATCTAAAGACTTGGGTATTTCTGAAACAGAACACCTCTAGAAGAGAAGCCTCTTTTTACTCATGCTTTATCCCCACATTGCCTAAAGTTAAAAGCCACCCGCAATGCTTTTGACAGAGGTCTTGGGCCTCAACCCAAGACCTACTGAGTCAGAATTTTAAGGGGCAGGTGCCCCATGATTCTCATGGGGTAAGTTTGGGAACAGTTACACAAGAGTAGGTTGGATTCTGTTCATGTCACTGTCCTGGTTTACCCCTTGCCCCATTCTTCTCTTGGTTAATCAGAAATTGTCTCCCGAGACACACAGCCACATTTGAAACATCTTTGGTAATACAGTACATGGTTTATTACAGGTAGGAGAACTTGGTTTGAATGCTTTACTGACCTAAACAACTTGCCACAGCAGTGAAAATTGTTACTGCTTCAGTAAACTATGGAAGAAACATTTCAGTGTGGTTAGTTTCCAAGGGTTGCCCAGCATATTTCTTTTTTGCTCTTTTGTCTAAATATATTTCTTTCTTATAAGGAGAAATGGATTCACATTCTGGGAATATTAGAATTATTTGTAAGAAGTAATGCAGTTGCTATAGAAATAGCACTTTATTATTTCCAGTGTTACAAATTATACTAACAGATAGTATGTGTGGTGATTATTCATGAGTTTTAAACATTGCTTTCAAAGAAATACTTAACGATACGTCTCTCTTTGCTTTATGGAATGAGTGTGTGCCTGTAGAGTCACCCTAAGAGAATTTTCATTTTCTCTTGGACTGTCATAAAGCTGGGGATACATTCACTTTAAAAGATCTCAGTGCCCCAGTAGAATAATTTGGAAACTTACCGTAGGAGACAGTAGACTTTTGAACAATTTATATTTTCTTAATTTGGGGAAATTGTTCCCAAAACATCTGTCATCTACCCAACTATTCAGGACCGTAAGAATTTTCCTTATGTCTGTGGGTTCTGTTAATTTCACATCTTTGTACACCTGAACTTCATGGGGGTTTTTCCCCTGTATGTTTCTGATAACCCAGGAAGAGCCAGGCTGTTCCATATTTCATCAAGAAATGTGTCATGATGACTTGTAACTCCGGAATTTTCAGTGCTGTAACATCACACCCAAATTGGGTGTACCTATATATTACAATGACTTAGAAACTTTTTTTTACGAAAGTCAGCAAAAGTTGCAGAATGATTTTCATTTATTTATAAGCTATACTGTAACAAAAGTTCATAAGTTCTGTGTCCCAGCCTGGACATTGACCATGGAAAAGTAGATGCCCTTCTGTGCAAGCAGCTGTTGGTGGGTGCCCTGCTCCCTGACCCTGCCGTTCTGAAACACCACGATCCGGTCTGCGTTCTGGATGGTGGACAGGCGGTGGGCGATCACGATGCAGGTGCGGCCTTCTCTGGCTTTGTCCAGGGCTTCTTGGACAACCTAGCAATAAAGCAGAATAGAAGACTGACTTCCGGAAACAAAGTGGGTTTTAGCACTAAAGGAAATTTAATAATTTTGCCATCCAAGCAAAAATTTTTTCATTTCTAATCTCTTTAATCTTTGTTTTTATGCACATGTATTTATATAATTTGGCTTTATAGTTATGTTCTTTTTTTTTTTTAAGATTTTATTTATTTATCTTTAGAGGGGAAGGGAAGGAGAGAGGGAGAGAAACATCAATGTATGGTTGCCTTTCATGTGTCCCCTGCTGGGAACTGGCCTGCAACCCCAGTATGTGCCCTGACTGGGAATCGAACCACGATTGTCTGGTTCACAGGCCCGCACTCAATCCACTGAGCTACACCAGCCAGGGCATGTTCTTTTCATTATAAATTCTCACACTGTAAATAATCTTCAAGTATTTAAAATATCTAACTAGTCACGAATTTCCCCTACTTCCCTTTTTAGTAAGTATTTTATTTTCCAGTTTTTTTTATTAGAGTTAATGTGCTAAAAATGACTTATGCAGCTTTTTCTTTTGAATACTTTTATTGTGTTTTTATAAAAGTAATATATGATCATTTTAGAAAAACTGAAAAATACTGAGAGGATTAAGAAAATATTGTACTTTTAAATAACCACTGTCTACATTTCTATTTTTTTTTCTGTGCTTACATATGTTTGTCATGCCCAAGGGCACAAAAAAATTTGTTTCACAAATTAAGTGTCGCATGGGGTGGGAGGCCATACTTTTTCACTTTCAGTGTCCAGCGCTGACGTGGCCTCATCCAGCAGTAGGATTCGAGGACGTCTGATGAGGGCGCGGGCGATGGCAATCCTCTGCTTTTGACCTCCCGAGAGCTGAGTCCCCTTATCTCCCACTCTGGTGTCGTATTTCTGCAAGGTAGTCATGAATGAAATTAATCCAGAAAAGTTACTAGTTATATACTGAATACACTTTTACTTCTTGTCATATGACAGTGCTACTTATAAGGAAAAAAATCTTTGGAATCAATAAAAAGTTTCCACAACAGCCACATAGTTGTCCATATAAGGTCAAGTAAGTAACAAGTGAGTAGTAAATGGGACATGCTGTGAAAGATCACAGAGGAAAACGGAAGTCGTGGAGGGACAGTGGGAGAGGAGAGAAATTAAAGATGTCCTGGTAGGGGAGTTGGGAAGCTTGATACTGCGAGTATTCTAAGCCAAAACATGGAATAAACAAACATGCAAACTGAGTGGGTTCAGTTTGTAGTGAACTGAATTCGGTATACATCCTGCGAATTAATGTCCTAAAGGCCAATGTCAGTTAAATAAAAGCTGAATGAAGCTTTAACACTTTTCAGTCATACCCAGTACTCGAAGTCGGTGTCACTGTGTTCAGGGCTGGTACGGCCAACCCACATGGAGGGTTTACTCGTATTTGGGAATGTGATTTCGAATCATAGACTGTAACCATAGAAACAAGTCAGCTGTGTTTCAGTTCAGTCCCGGGGGCCCTCAGGTGCTAGTCGACGCCTGCCACAGGATGAATGACCCCGTTCCTCAGTGCAGGGCTCTCAGGTCACCCTTCCAGGACTGCTCTTGTTTACCAGCTGCTGAAATTTTTTCACTGAACTCTTTTACCTTAGCTATCTGTCAAAGCCACAGTGACATCTCTGCACTTCGGCTACTGTCAGAGCAGCTCTAACGAGGTGATAGGGACTGTCAGGGACTGTCGGGGACCATGGAACCTGGAGAGTGCATTTAGTGATTCTCCAAAGTGAACCATTAAAGAAACAAAACCTTATACCAAAATTAACTCAACGCAGCATGTAAATGTGAAATGTAAATCCATAACTCTTTGGGGAAATCAAGGCACAGAAAATCTTTAGGGCCAGGGGCTAGACAGAGAATTGAACTTGACACCAAAAACACAGTCTGTAAAAGGAAGAGCTAACGAATCGCACCTCATCGAAGTTAAAAACTTTGGCTCTGCAAAACATCCAGTTAAAAGGATGAAAAAAACAACAGATTGGGAGAAAACATTTGCAAACTGCGTATCTGACAGAGCACTAGAAACTAGAATATATAAAAATCTTTCAAAACTGAACAGTAGAAAAACAATCATATTAGAAAATGGGTGAAGGACATGAAGAGACATCTCACCAAAAGGTAAATATAGATGGCAACTAAGAATATAAAAAGATGTTCAATATCATTTGCCATTGGGAAATGCAAATAAAAACCACAATGAGATACCACTATCTGCCTATCAGAATGGTAAAGAAAATACAGTGACAGCAAGTGCTGGCAAAGAGAGAGAGAAACTATCACACATTGCGGGTAGGAGTGTAACACGGCACAGCCACTGTGGAAAACAGTTCAGCAGTTTCCCATCAAATTAAACATGCAGCTACCGTGCGGCCCAACAACTGCACTCCTGGGTGTTTCCCCCAGAGAAATAAAGCCTTAGGTTCACAATAAAACTGATGTGCAAATACTTACAGCAGCTTATTCTTCACCGTCCCAAACTGGGGTCGGAACTGGTGCTTAAACGAGGTCCATTCACACCACTAAACACCACCCCACAACAAACAGGAACACACTAAAGATACAACTTCGGGGAAGTAGGCTGAGTGAGAAAAGCTAATTTCAAAAGGTCAGACACTGTATGTTTACATAACATTCTTAAAGTAGGAAACCACAGCAATGGAGAACAGTCAGTGGCTGCCGGAGGGGCGGGGAGTGAGGGCGGGAAGGAGGGGGCGTGGCTATAAAAGGCCAACGAGAGGGATCCCTGCGGTGATAGAAATGTTCTGTATCATGACTGTGATAGTGGACACACGAATCTACACACACAATAAAAGTGCACAGGACTAAATACCCAAATGTGTACAAGTAAAGCTGGGAAAATCTGAATCAGACAGTGGATTGTACTGATGTTCGTGTCACCGGAGGAAACCAGGTAAAGTGTACATAAGCTCTCTTTATTCCTTACAACTCCACGTGAATCTCTAATGACCTCACGATGAAGTGTTCAATTAAAAAAGGGGAGTATCCTGGGGGAACCCCAAACCTGGCTGCGGTCTGAATGCAGCCCCCACTCCTCAGGGTGCACCCGAGATACGGTGCATTCACTTCCTATCACCTCGCTTGCTTCCAGCCACATTTGTATGAGGAAGACACGACGTAAGGAGACGGTGTCTCTGACCTTGGACAAGGTCAAGGCCAGAGAGCTAGTAAATAGACACATCCGTTACCAGCCTGTTGGAGTATGACTGCGGGAACTGTTTGGGGGAGGGAAACTGTGTAGACTTGATTCTGATTTCATCCTAAAGGAGTTAACAGATAACTTACGTGGGGCAAGGTCTCGATGAAAGGGTGTATGTTGGCCACTTGGGCAGCGTGCACGATTTCGTCTCGTGACACGACCCGGCTGTTGTCCCCGTAGGCGATGTTCTCGGCGATGCTGCAGTCGAACAGGACGGGCTCCTGGGACACGATGCCGAGCTGGGCTCGGAGCCACGGGATGTTGAGGTTCTTCGCTTCTTGATCATCTAGGAGCTGAAAAACAAAGTCCACAAGCTCTGAGAAGGGCTTGAAAAGAAGAAAAAAAAAAGAACTAAGCAGTAAGTTACTAGATTCACCATTTGCAGGATTTTTTGGCATGTGGGCATCAGCAGTTTGGGAAATACCAAGTCTCACAGCCTCTACACACTTACACTGTGGGAGGCCAACCTAGCCAACAAAATGTTTCAAAAAGATTTTTTTTGAGAGAGAGGAAGGGAGGAAGAGAAACTTCAATTGGTTGCCTCTTGCACATCCACAAACCAGGCACATACCCTGACCTGGAATCAAACCTGCAACCTTTCAGTTTGCAGGATGACGCCCAACCCACGGAGCCATACCACTCAGGGACCAAATGGTTTTTATGATAATTACGCCATCCCTTTCTTGGGCTAACCGATCATAGGGTAGCACAGCTGGTCCTGTGTTTTCACATTCTTCCCTCTGCCCATACCCGCCCTCCTCCAGGCCAGTGTAACCAACCTCCCCTGACTCAAAGAAGCCTGAAATTAGACGTTCTGCTCATCGCTGCTGTCCCCTGAACGAATCCAACCCTCCAACTTGACTTTGTTCCCCTCCTGCAGGCATGACAGACCAAAAAGCAGATTCTGACACCTGCTTACCGCCCGCCCTACTCCTCTCCCCCCTGTACTTATACTTTTCTCTGTTTGACAGCACTAAGGACAAAGGTTTAAGAAAGCACAGGGAGCAAGCACGCAGGGCAGTGTCTGGAAGAACGGTTTTGTCGGAGGTAGTTCCAGTGGTTTTGTTGGAAGCATCACACACAGGAGGCATGATGCTTCTGGAGGAGCCTTATGATGCAGTGCGTGAGAATGCAGCTTCCTGCAGGTTCACGGTCACCAGTGAAGGGACAGACACAGGTCGGGTTAGTCGTGACCGCTCAATAATGAAATTTCCACCCTGGATTAGCACAGCCTACAGAGTGCTGAGCTGGTTTGCCTAGAGTAACTACGGAGTAATTGTAATGGTGGAAGCATAAGACTTTCCAGAAAAGAAACAACTAAGCAAGGTTTAACACTTTGGCAACTGTCTCAATGGAGGTGGCTTCTCAGGATTAGGTCAGTGGCTGCCACGCCAAGGTGATGGAAGAGGAGTTATCAGAGCCCCGTCTCCACTTCAGGAAGAGAGCTGGGGGCTACCGACCAGGAAGTCCATGATGACAGCCAAATATGAAAGGGCTGAGGGTGAGGACTGAAGTCAGCGAGCCTGGAGTTCAGGGTTAGAGAGAGATGGCAAAGCAGAAGGTGGGGGGAGAGAATGAGCAGGCACTGGCCTGGCCTGCAAGCCTGCTCGGAATTCTGGCAGGAGTTTGCGCTGACCTTTATAAGCCAGAACCGGGGATTTACTTAGGAGGATGAGGCTGCCCCGAAAGGCCCAGGGGCAGGCAGAGGTCAACATCACATCCAGCATTTTCTGGACTACACTAAACTGCAGATGTTCTATCTGGCTGTCCTCGTATGTTTGTCTGTTTAGGGTTCACAGAATGTGGTCATTGTATTAAATAGAATTGTGGGTCTTTATTTGTCCAGTTTTTTCCATTGTGGGAATATTGGTTTAGCTACTTGAAATAGCGCCTCAAATCAGGTTAGTAATTTAAGAAAGGGTGCTCACCACGGATCCAGCCAGGGGGTCGTAGAACCGCTCGAGGAGCTGGACCACCGTGCTCTTCCCGCAGCCGCTGCTGCCCACCAGGGCCAGCGTCTGGCCCTTCTTCACCTCCAGGCTCAGCCCCTGAAGCACGGGCACGTCTGGCCGCGTCGGGTAGTTGAACACGACTTCGTTAAAGGTCACATTCCCCTCAAACTTATCCTAAAAAAGTGTCCAAAATGTTGCTATTGTAATTGGTCTGGTAATTATTGCAATGAAGAGTATTATTTCAAGGAACCTTTACCAAAGACTGTAGTGGGAAAACATAAAATTCATACTTGGTAAAAATGCTAGTACCAGATCATTTCTATTGATCTATTCACATCAACAGAAAATTGTTATATAAAATGAAGATGGGAGACAAGGGTACAGGCAGGTAGTCATATTACGGAGAGTTGTTATCCGAAGTCCATTTCTGGTTCACTTAAGACAAATATGTAGCTTTCTCAGATGATGACTTGGAGGCTGGAGCCACCCCAGTGACTAAAGGTTCAGAGGCGCGGGGATCGGGGCGGTGTCCCCCTGCAGTCTCTGGGACAGCCCTTGTCTCAAGCCCTGGCAGCCCCTTTCTCTCACTCTCTTCATCTCACCCACTGGACCCAGCAATTTCCCCAGAACGAGAAACACCTGGTGAGGTCCCAGGAAGGGTAGGTCCCCATCTGTACCACACTGCTCCTTGTGCATTAAATGTAGCAGCTGGGGTCAGGCAAAGAACCCTCAGATCTAAGTCTGAGTTACCTCTGGAAACGAAGTACAGGCTTCATTACTCACAGTGAATAAAGCAGTCTTCTTGCCAACTGTAATTTAGTCATTACAAGATGTGATTAAAGCCAAATTGCTAATCATTTACATACAGAATTATATGCATATTACCTTCGTGCAGAAATGACTAACAGTTTTCACAAAAGTTATCCAGTTCTAATACATCTGGATTTTTGGCTCTTTACTTTTGATGGTCTAAACTTCAGAATCCTTGAAATCCCCTATGAAATTTTAAAACGCCAGGAAAGTTGGCCAAATATTAGCTCTGTAAATATCACAGAGATAAACATCAGTACAATCACTACAAATTTATCCATTAATTGCAACCTAGCAGACAGCAAACCTTTAGGAAAAAATTAACCAAGCGCTCATAAGGCAGCAGACAGAGGACTCACAGGCCTCAGGCCTTCTTCACTGTAGCTGTCGATCAGAGGCTGTCTTTCAAACAGCATGAATAAGTGGGCTGCAGACAGCTTGGCCTTGGCATAGTCTGGAGCAAAGGAGCTAGCGTGTCCTAGGGCCACGGCACCAAACACAATCGCTGAAAACACCCTAGACCGGAAGGAGAGGAGTTTAAAAATTAGCCTGCGGTATAATTATATAGCTCCACGGTGTTTAAAAGTTCAAAAACATACTGTTTAACCAGTACCGACATTTTTCGCTCCCCTAATCACGCCCCCACCCCACCCCTTCTCGCCCGTCTCGCACACATTCCCATAAAATTCCACTAACCGGGAAGGGTTCTTTTTTCCCACAGGCACCTCCAGTTTCCTAGAGATAATATAACTTTCCACAGTTGTTCTCTTTCTAGAGGTGGCTTATGACAATCTGATTTGCGATCTCAAGTAATTATAGTAACTCGTTACACCCGTTTTAGAGTTGAAGGAACTGAGGTGCACTGTGTTTATTCAGGCCCTTGACCAGCGCCAGAAAATCAATGACGTTTCCTGTTGAATCTGCAGCCCCGACCTCCGATGTGTGGGTTCTCCACTCCCACACAACGCAACAATGCTCACTGTGGTGAAAGAGTTTCTACCAGGAGAACAAGCCTCTACCAGGAAGAGCCTTTCTCTTATACTTAAAGTAATTACTGACACTACCCCAGAAAACAACTGTCCTAAGCTAAAGGGCCATTTTCCAATTAAACCGTGTCTTTAAAGAACAGATATGAATTAGAAGAACTTTTAGGAAGGGTCACAGATTCAGAGGGTCGACGCCTCCACAAAGCTGGGGTCGGAAATGGGGTCCAGAAGCCCCCTGGAGCTGGGGTGGCGGGGGGCGGAGAGCATTTCTATCTAGTCATAATGGAGAACTTACATTTTTTCCTCTACTAAGCTTCTAAATCTAAGATATTAAGGTATGTTTTAAATATGGGTCTATTAAGGCTGTCCCTTAAATTCCTGGTATGGTTGGTTCCCAGAAATTAAATTTTAACATAGTGATGAACTCATGTGTAGTCCCCTGGCTTCCCTGTACGCCCCGTAATCCAGCTTTAGCATGAAAGATTCAAAAACTGTCTTCCAGGTATCCGTGATGTAACGGTTTAATGATAAAAACAAAACAGCAAAAAAGCAGGATGAATTTTCTAGACAATAAAAACACTCCAAGTTGTAAACCCCAGAGCCGAGCCGTATATTTCCACTTGATCTTCCAAAGCCACGGCCTGCTCTCCACACAGGTCTGGTCTGGGACGCCCCAGGCTGTAGAAGGCCGAGCCCTCAGGGACCTCTTCAGCAGGCTGCCTGTCCCCTGGCATCCTCGGCTGGGGCTTGGCAGTGACAGGGACAGCCGGGGATGGGAGGGCCGGGGGAGAGTGAGGCCGGGGAATTTGGTTGGTTTCCGTCTTGTGGGATTGTTGGGTTACTGGTGTCCTTCCCCACAAAGAGGGCAGAAGGCCCCTACACTGGGTTCTGAAAACCTTTCCCTCCTCTGGCCCTTGAGGCTTAGGGTACCAGCATTCACAAGCCCGGGAACTGATGAGGAGCTAACAGCTCCCCTGGGGACCGCTCCCCTTCACACTGTGGCACCTCTGTCAACAGACCCTTTAGCAAACTCTCCTCAGCCCATCTGCAGTGGCATTTGTTTCCTGCTGGGACCCTGATTGATTATATACTTTTTTTAATGGTTTTAAAATTTTTGGATGAAAATAAAAGAACAGCTTTTAGACACTTTCACTTTACTTGTTTTGACCTTGTTTGAAGAACAAAAACAGGTTGTTTGCTACTGCTTTAGAATCATCCTATCAGAGCAGAAATAGGCCAAGTGATCTTAAAAAGAATGGCTTCCCTTTGGCAAGACTGAAATGAAACCTAATTGAATGTGTTTAGCATATTTTGAAAAGAGGAATGCATCAGTTCGGAAAACCACTGGTTAGTCTTGGAAACCCAAGAAATCAGAGAGAGGCTAAGAGGCAAATGTTGGCTGGGTCCCCCCAAGTCTGGTGAGGAGACGGACAGAGCCTTTGCCAAACTTCAGGCGCGCATTCCCATTCCATTGACCAGGCCATCTTTGGTTGCCATTAAAGAGCGAGCTATTTAACCCTCTGTGTTTGGAGTCTGTGGTCACTGGCAACTGTGTAATTAGTGATTTCTTCCTGCCTACATTATACAATAAGATATTTTGCTATCCTTCTGCCTGGACTTCCATGCATTACTAAAATTCTGGTTTATGATGATTTTCGTGAGCTTGCTTAGTTTTTTGCCCACTCCAGTGGTTGAACTGTCTGTCCTTGGAGAATTAACCAGATCAGATGTCTGTAGTTGATTCAACTCTCCTACCTCATCCTAGAACAACAGAGGACTCCCCCTCTACTCTAAACTTTTGTATAGACCTATTGAAACTTTATTATAGAATAATCTTAATATCTTTAGAGTTACTTACAGAATAACATCTCTGAAGAGCATATGTCCATTCACGATGAGATAGGCGCCGAATCGAAAACAACCAGCATAGGAAAAATACATAAATGCTTGTGAAATGCTAAAAGTGATTCCATAGATGTGTGCCTTCCGCACAGAGTTCCTGCAAAGCAAACCGGGGTATTCATCACCATCTCTTCAAGCACCCATAGCACCGTGTTGTGGTGGGGGGGGGGAGGCACAGCTTCAAAACGTCCTTGACCTGGGTTTAAATTCTGCCACCAGTTACATCACAGTAACCTTTCTCCATGTCAGTTTTCTGATTGGTACAATGGGGATAAGCAATACGGTGCAGAATTGTTTTGAGAACGCAATGAAGAATGTAAATGTCTAGCATAGGAGCCAACTCCTAGTGGCTGCTCAGATGATACGTGCTGTTTGTACACGTTAATAGCTGGTGATCCAGACATTCAACTCCTGTGAGGTAAATGTGAATACTGTGTGAAATACATTGAGGGTGTCAAAGTCCTGACTGAAGCTTGGACTGTCTGAATGTGATTTCCTTAATATTATTCTCCTGTGCTCTGTGACTAGTAAACCATCTCTTTTGTCAACATTCACGTTTCAGATTTGGAAAGGCATGGTCACAGGGGTTTAGATAGAAACACATCCGACATTCATCTTGAACCAGACAGACCCCACCAGCCCCGATACAGATTTAGTGCCATTTCTAATTAGGTCCCAGGCTCGGTGGAGCTACTTTCGTGTAAGTCCTCTAAAAGAACAATGATTAACTTTTAGATGAGAAACCAGGCATTTGCCAAAAGGGAGCATTTAAAGTATTACTGATTTGGGTGACGTAGTTATGTGCCATGAGCATGCTGTTACAATGCTTAATATTACTGACAAATTTGCTGGTACATCTTTAAATTATAACCAAATTAGAAATTAGCTCCAGCTTTCTATTATTCCTTAATTCCCTTGAAGTTTAAAATAAACCATAAGGTCATAGATAATGGCACATATATATTTATATGTCAAAGAGCAAATGGACAGAAAAATGTAGCTACATGAAATATACATAAAAAAGGAGATTAAATAAATTGGGAATTTCAACTAGCCCTTTTCAAATCTAAGTGTTCAAACTATTCTAGGCTACACAGCTGTAATCTAAGTGGTATTCGATTTTGTTAGTGTTAAAATATATTCATCTATAACCATGGAGATGTAACGTACAGCACAGGGGATGGAGTAGCCAAAGAACTTGTGCACGTGACCCATGGACGTGAACAATGGTGTGGGGATTGCCTGAGGGAGTGGGGGGTGCTGGGTGGAAGGGTGCTAAGGGGAAGAAAAGGGACAACTCTAATAGCCTAATCAATAAAATATATTCACTTATTAAAAAAAGGCCCTGGTTGGAAACAAGTGGCAGGTAGTGCCACGGGCAGTTTCTGAGATTGCTCAAGTGTGAACGAGTGGAATCAGATGTGTGTCTTTGTGGTCAGGGCAGGTGGGATCTGGTCCTCATCCAGAGATCAAGAGGAACACAGTAACCCCTCCCTATCCGCAGGGGACACACTGCAAGGCTCCCAGTGGATGCCTGGGACCAGGGACAGTGCCAAGCCCTACATATACTATGTTTTTTCCTATATATACATACATGCACACCTATGATAAAGTTAACTTATAAATGGAGCACAGTAAGAGATTAACAATAATAGCTAATCATAAAGTAAACCAATTGTAACAATATACTGTAATAAAAGGTATGTGAATGTTGTCTCTCTCTTAGTATATCTTATAGTACTGTATTCCCCCTTCTTGTAATGATGTAAGATGGTAAAATGCCTTGCTAAATCAAGAACTTTCACCTGTTCACCCAGAGGAAGCGCTTCCCAGCTTCTCTTTGGCACACCTGAATTGCCAGCACCACCACTCTCGCACCCCAGAGCCATGGCTAAGTAAGGCAAGTGTGACTTGAGCACTAGCACTGCGACACCATGGCGGTCTATCTGCCAACCACGACAGCTACCAAGAGACTGAAGGTGGGTCGGGTACACAGCATAGACATGCTGGGAAAGGCGCGAGTCATGTCTCAGGTGAGAACAGAGCTCGGTTTAAAAGTTACGGCCACTTTCTTACAACATAGACAAGAACAAACTCCAACTGCATTAAAGACTTAAATGTGAGACTCAGAACCAGACAACTCCTAGAAGAAGACATAGGCAGTAAACTCTTCGACAATACACTGAGTAGAATTTTGGGGGATATGTCTCCTTGGGCATGAAGAACAAAAGAAAAAAGTAAACTAGAACTACATTAACCTAAAAAGTGTTTGCGCAGCAAAGGAAATCATCAACAAAATGAAAAGACCACCTACGGAGCAGGAGAACATATCTGCCGAATGATGCAACTGTTCTTTTCCACGACAAAGGATAAAAGGATCACAAAACCCCTCCCTGATGGGGTGACACACAGCAGGAAGCAATCTCACCAGACACATGCTTCTCTGGGAGGATCACGAGCTTGACATGTGGCAGCCTAACTCCCGGGGGGCTGCACTGAAAAGACAAGTCCCACAACTGCTGACTTAGAAAACCAATGGGGCTGATGTTAACACCTGAGGGACCCACAGTGCTATGGGCAAATGAGGCTCCCCCCTTAAAGGACTCATGTGTGGTCATACTTAACCCAAGACCCACCAGGAACAAAACGACAACACAAAAACATCAGTTAATAAAGCAACCAGATTATATGGGAAAGATACTCATTTGTGAACCTAAAACCACTGACGCTCCAGCTAGTCGAAAGCTGCCCAGAAGCAGAGGAGCTGGCGCACGCCATTACTGCACTCTTGCCTAACCTGCTCACTCAGTGGGTGAGTGGTCAGGGTACTACTATCCCTCTGCCTTGCTGAAACCAGGTAATAGCGTGACTCATTTTGGAACACTTCCCCACTCCCTGGAGGGACAGGTGATTTGGAACCTTCCGTATTCTCCTGACCCTTAGCTAAAATCCGCAGGTGTCAGCCATTGCAAAAATCACCCTGCCCTGCAGGCCAGCAGTTGCAGCATTCTCCCGCCACCAGCCGAAAGCCTGCATGCACACAAAGTCCTCACTGGCTGCATTGCCCTGGCCCATGGCTGTGGGCAGTCAGGACATTTTCCCACAGCCTTGCTGAAACCAGCCAGAGAGCACCTCTCCCTGCACACCGCAGCGACCTTCCAAAGCCAGAGGGTATGCTCGGTGCCCACAGGGGGTACTCCTTGATGCTTGATTCTGGTAGCCTGAGGCTGGCATAAATGAGTTCTACAGGACTGTAAAAATCCAAAAGACAGTTCTTGGCAGGTTGCTACCCCCAGGGCACTGCACAAATAGCAGAATGAAGTACAACTGCAGTCTTCCGGCGAAAAAGGCCTATTTATAAATTGAAGAATATACTAGGGAGGGAGGTGTTGACCGTAGAATGAATGAAATAGAAGCGTGAATGAGTGAGCTGGAAGACAAAGCAATGAGAAACACCTACACTGAACAGCAAAATTTAAAAATATTTTTAAAAAGTGAAAGTCACTAAGGGTCTCTGGGATGACATCAAACAGAATAATATTCGCATGATAGGCGGATTCCAGAAGAAAAGAGAGAAGGCCAGAAAAAATTCTACGAGGAAATAATAGCTGAAAACTTCCCTCATTTGGGGAAGGAAAAAGTCACGAGTCCCCTAGAGTTAAAAATAAGATGAACCCAAAGAGATAGACACAGAGGCACATTATAAATGAAGTAGTAAAAGTTAAAAATAGAGGATCTTAAAAGCAGCAAGAGAAAAACAACACACTGCATACAAAAGAAACCCCTGAAGGTTATCGGCAGATTTTTCAGCAGAAATGTTTCAAGTCAAAAGGAAATAGCCCAATACATTCAAAGCGCTGAAAGGATAAAAAATGACCAACCAAGGATTCTCAGCCCAGCAAGGTTTTTATGCAGAACTGCAGGAAAGACAAAAGTTTCCCAGGTAGGCAAAAATTAAAGGAGTTTGTGACCAGTAAGCCAGCAATGCTAAAAGGACTTCTCTAAACAAAATAGAAAAGACATTAATTAATAATAAGAAAACATGCAAAAGTAAAGACCACACCAGAAAAACTAACTGAATAATAAAGGTAGTGTGTCAATCACAAGTATGAAGGATAAAAGATGAAAGTCATAAAATGTACCTAAAAATACAATTAGTTAAGAGATAAATAAAATACTAAGATATAAAATATGTCATAAATATAAAAATGTGGGGGGAAGAGTAAAAATGTAGAGTATTAGAGTGCGTTTAAATTTAAGTTACTACCAAAACACACTGTTGTATACATACATCTATGTTGTATACATAGAATGTGATATATGAACCTCCCCATAAGCACAAAGAAAAACTTACGGTAAATACACAAAAGAAAAAGAGACAGGAATCTAATCACAGCACTAAAGAAAATCATGAAACCACAAGGGAAGAGATAAACAGAGGACAAAAGGTACAGAGAAGAACGTCATTAACCAATAAAAACAGACAGACCAAAAGTAAAGGGATGGAAAAAGATTTTCTGTGCAAATGGAAGTGAAAGAAAGCTGGGGTAGCAGTACTTACATCAGAAGAAGAAAAATAAAACCTTTAAAAAGAAGAGCATTACACAATGGTAATGGAGTCAATTCAACAAGAGGGTATAATATCTGTAAATATTTGTGTACCCAACACAGAAACACCTAAATACAGGATGTGACAAAAGTAGGCTTATAGCCCCGGCTCAGTGGATTGAGTACAGGCCTGAGAACCAAAGAGTCACCAGTTTGATTCCCAGTCAGGGCACATGCCTGGGTTTCAGGCCAGGTCCCCACTAGGGGGCACACAAGAGGTAACCACATTGATGGAAACCACATTGAGAGGAACACTGATGTTTCTCTCCCTCTCTTTCTCCCTCCCTTCCCTTCTCTCTAAAAATAAATAAATTCTAAAAAAAAGCCACCAATGACATTTTTGTATAAATAATCTAGAACAAATAATCCTAAAATTTGTATGGAACAACCAAAAACCCTGAATAGCCAAAGCAACATTGAGAACAAAGTTGGAAGTATCACAGCCCCTGATTTCAAACTATATTACAATGCCATAATAACCAAAACAGTATGGTACTGGCACATAAACAGACACATAGATCAATGGAGTAGAGAATACAAAAAGAAATGACACATATTCAGTCAATCTACAACAAAGGAGGCAAGAGTACACCAAGGGGAAATGACAGAATCTTCACAAATAATGTTGACAAAACTGAATATGTGAAAGAATGAAAATGGACCACTGTCTTACACCATGTCTAAAAATAACCTCAAAATGGATTAAAGACTTGAATATAAGACCTGAATTCATAAAAATCCTAGGAGAAAACATTGGAAATAAGCTATTGACATCAGTCTTAGTAACATTTTTTTGGATATGTCTCCTCAGGCGAGGACAACAAAAGCAAAAATAAACTATTGGCACTACATCAAACGAAAAAGCTTTTGCAGAGCAGAGGAAACCACCAACAAAATGAAAAGGGAGAAGAAATTCATAAATGATTTATCCAATACGTGCTTAATATCCAAATATATAAAGAACTTGTACAACTAAAGACCAGAGAAACAAACAAAGCTGTTAGAAAAACAGGCAGAGGACCTGGCAAAAATAGACATTTTCCCAAAGAAGACAGACAGATGGGCAACAGGTACATGAAAAGACTCTTAACGTCATTACTCATCAGGGACATGCAAACCAAAACCGCAATGAGATACCGCCTCACACAAGTCACAATGGGTATCAACAGAAGACAAAAAATAGCAAGTGCTGGTGACGATGTGGAGAAAAAGGAACCCTCGGGTGCTGCTGGCCGGACTATAAACTGGTGCAGCCCCCGTGGAAAAAAAAGTATGGAGGTTCCTCAAAAAATTAAAAATAGAGCTACCAAGTGACCCAGCAATTCCACTTCTGGGTATTTATCTGAAGAAAATGAAAACAGTAATTCAAAAGGACATATGTACCCCTATGGTCATTAAAGCATTATTTACAGTAGCCAAAATATGGAAGCAGCCTAAGTGTCCACTGTTAGATGAGCCCATAAAGAAGATGTGATACACTAGCACACACGTGCACACACACACGGTGGGATACTCCTTTGCTATAAAAAATGAAATCTTGACATTTGCAACAGCGTGCGTAGAACTGGAGGGTATTATGCTAGGTGAAATAAGTCAGAGAAAGACAATCTCATACGATTTCACTTCCAGGTGGAATATAAAAAACAAAATAGGAACAGACTCATAAATACATGAACAAAACGCTGGCTGCCAGAGGGACCTGGAGCAGGGAAGGGAGCTGCGTGAAAGAGCTGACAGGGCCTCAAGGGGCCGGATGCGCGGTTGTAAAGTAAACCAGTCTTGGGGACACAACACACAGCATGTAACACAGTGTCAGTAATACTGTAATAACTTTGGTGACAGAGGTAACTAGACTTGTGGCTATCATTTCACCAAGTCGCTATGTTTATACCTGAAACTGATGTAGTATTATAAGTCAACTATACTTCAAAACAAAATCAAATGAAACTTCTGAATGATTTCTGGAATGTTCCATGTCACATTTCAACTATGGTTGGCTGGGTTACTGAGACTAAGGAAGGCAATGCTGTGGATCAGGGAGACTATTGTACTTTAGTTAATGAAATAGCAAGTCTCTTCTTTAGTTCAGTCTACACAATCCAAAGAAAGGGTTTGGACAATTCCCTAAAAGAACGCTGACTCTGCGTCACCAGGATAAGCGGTTGATCTCGCCTGCACCGGTGAGCGAACGGAAGCACAGTCCTCCGCGCCATCCAGTTCTTGGAGCCCCAGTGCATCGTTTTTGCAGAAGATATAAAAATTCGATCCTCTGGCCCACTTGCATCAGAAAGCTATCTATTTTCAGTGAGATAATTATTATTATTTTTTTAAAAAAAAATATTTTATTTATTTATTTTTCGAGAGAGGGGAAGGGAAGGAGAAAGAGTGGGAGAGAAACATCAATGTGTGGTTGCCCCTTGTGAGTCCCCTGCTGGGAACTGGCCTGCAACCCAGGCATGTGCCCTGACTGGGAATCGAACCTCAATACTCTGGTTTGCAGGCCCGCGCTCAATCCACTGAGCTACGCCAGCCAGGGCTCAGTGAGATAATTATTTTAAAATGTCATCCTTATCGTCACATTATTCAGAGGAGCAGAGTTTCTATTATCTTTGCGGACAATAACTCAACCTCAGGAAAGCGCTGTGTTCTTTGTACCGATCATATGCTCATTACCTGTAAGGTCCATACAATTTCTCCACATACATTGATTCAAATTTTCTTTCCTGGGTCAAGGACACAACTGTCCTAATGTTTTCTATTGCCTCTGTTGCAATCTGTAATGTAGAACAGACCTTGATTAGAAATGGGGCTTTTACTTCTGAAAGAATGAAAAATATAAATCTTAGGACACTGTCAAAAGAATCACGAAAGGTTTTAAATTCCTGCAATTTTGGGAGCAAAGGCATAATAGTGTGTTCCCTGAGATGAGCTCTATGACAAAACTGACAATCTCAAAAGTACCCCTGGCTGGGCCAAATATAGTGGGCAAGATTCTGTATTCCCAGGGAGCCTGACAAGTTCAGGGCAAGAATGGTGGCCTGGGCACCGGCAACCAGATTCTCTTCCCGGACGTGCTACCAGGCAGTTCCTTGACTGGCTTTAGTCACACGCCTTTTGAGGTTCTGCTTTCCTCACAGGGGAGAGTCCTAGAGAATCAGGCTAAGTGATTGATTTCTAAGGGCCACTAGAGGTGTCAATCATTCCCTCCATGAGCATACCCCTACATAGAGGAACTGTTTACGCATAATTGGAAAGAAGATCCAAATTATAAACCACACAACCCTGCCTGAAATCCAGCTGAAGCAGGGACGGACATGTGACTAATGCAGGCCAATCAGACTGTTTCCAGGATTGGGGGCAACGGTGAAGTGAGGAGACCCATGGATTTGGAGGCCAAGGTCACCACCAGGGATGCGTGGGAAGCTCCTTTGAATATACGGCAGGTGAGGAACGGAAAAAAATGTGTAGAGAGCCTCAAAGACAACAGAGCTAATGGCTCTAAAAGAGCAGCTGCTGGTGACTTTCCAGTCACCTAAACCGTGGGAGTTCGCTGTACCTCTGAGCCCTTACCCCTGCTGCCCAAACCAGCCGGAGCGGTTTCCGACTTTGACGGCCAAAGGACTCCTCATTAGTGGTGATTGTCTGTGACAGCTGTTTAGTCTCAAGGACAGATTCTGTTGTCATCGAAACCATTAGCACAAGGAACCTAAGATTTTAATTTTAGGTTTTTGTTTTAGCAAGTTTACAACTTTTATCTCAGTTCTCAGCTTCTGTAACCAGATGAAAGCAAGATATTTGACACTTCAAGCTGAATAACCTTTTTCATCTTTATTATAAATGAAAAATCTAACAGTAATAGTAGCCAGAGTAGAGAATACTTATTAAGCTTTCCCTGCATGCCAGGTATTATTACTTCATTTGCTGACATGATCTTGTTTAGTTTCACAATAACCCTGTGAGGTAAGTATTGTTATTCCTGTTTTCACAGATGAGGAACTGATGCACAGAGGAGTTAAATGCCAGACAATCCCTATCGTTTACCTGAGGCCAAGTCCAAGTTCTTAACCCATTGAGCCATTCTTATCTTCCCGCTTTGTCAACACAGGAAGGAACAAGTTGTTAATGACTGGTTACACGAAACACTTGATTTTCTGGCTCTGGATTATCTGCTCGGGGGTCAATTCTGCAGAGTCAGTAATCTGAGTGGGGAGGGTTGCTATTCACCCTTCTTCTCCGTCCTCCCAACCCAGCAGTCAACACCCTCATTGCCAAGCCCTTCTTCAAAAAACAATGCAGGACACTGTGCTATCCCAAACCCTACTGTACTTTAATCATGAATAATCTGCACCCAGATAAATGAGAACTTTTCATTTTAAAAAACAAAACAGGGATGTGGGAGTTTTCCAAGACCACTTTCTAACCCTATTCTATGCTAATGAAGAGCTGGCTAAGTGCCCTGACTGGTGCGGCTCAGTGGGATGGGCACCGTCCCACAAACACGAAGGTTGCTGAGTCAGTTCCCAGTTGGGCGGGTGCCCGGGTTGCAGGCCTGGTCCCACGACGCCGGGGACGTGGAAGGGCAACTGGTCGATGTTTTGCTCCCTCTCTTTCTCCCTCTCTTACTCTCTCTCTACAAATAGATTTTTTTAAGTTGGCTAAATAAACAAAATTAAACTGCAGTTAAATTGCTGACAATTAACATTAATAATTTCCAATCTTTCATATTTCTTTAAAAACTATTGTATTAGGTTAAAGTAGCTGCTAAAACAAATTTTAGACTGGTCAGTGTAAGTTACTCATTCTTTTTGATCCCTAGAATGATAGAATACTTACTAGGTGAAAGGAACTTGGGACATTATCTGGTATAATTTCTCATTTCACGAAAGTACAAAGTGAGGACCAGACAAGTGGGGGAACCTTTTCCAGTATCACCCTCTGTGAGTTGCAGGGTCAAGACTAATAACCCAAGGCACTGGGTTTTGTTTGCCATAGTGCTCAATTCTAACTGCCCTGCCCCTGCCAAAATTCTGGCCACTTTAAGTGTTATTAGCCACTTATCATAACCCCTCTATATCTTAACTAGATTCCAGGTGTTTTCTTTCATGTTCCTAGCCTAAGAAAAATTTATCTTCACTCTACATACTGACAATTCGCCCCTATGAAATGTGAACGGGAGCTGGGATCAGGAGGAGAAAGGAGATAAAACGCGAACAGGGTGTCCTTCCAGCAGTCAGTTGTGACAAACAGCAGTCAAGGAAATGATGCCCAAAAGTACCCACAGAGAGCGAGCGGCCAAGAGGATCCTCGAGAACTTTGGACACCCAGGGCTTCTTAAGTTTGGGGACCACGCACAGTTCTAGAGATCCACCCCCAGGAAAGGAGGCAGGAGGAACGTGAGAAGGAAGGATTTTGATGGAAACCAGCGGAAGAGACTACTAACACTGCTTTGAACTCAGCTGATGCCGGACAAGAGAGAAGGGGCAAGGATTTCCCTGGATGTAACGGGTTTGGGGGAAATGTGCTGGAGCAGAACTCTAATCTCACCCCGTACGTGCCACACATCTGAAGCGAGTCACTGGACTTCTGGGCGCCTTCTTCCCTGTGAGGTGGAGATCCTGTCGGCCCCACCTCAATAACCATAGCAAAGGCCTTGCAGTTCATGTTTGTGAACAGGCTTTGTGGTGTAGAAACTATCACAATTTACATTCACAAACTGCTTTACCTCCTAATGTTTAAAGAAAGAATAATATTCGCATAAATAAGAGTAAAAATATTCCGGCAGTAATCTACATTTGAATACTTCCATGCATGACCATATACCTAAAATGTTTGTATGTAGATCTGGACACATTTAAAACACATGTAAAGGGGCTGTGGAATCAAGACTTCTGACATCAGATCTGGATTTGAAACGGAGCCATGCCTTCAACTTGTTTGGTCCTCGGGTTTCGTGTCTGTGAAACTGGGGTAAAATGAGTACCCGCCCCATGGATTTACTGTGAGGATATGATGAGTTGATGCACATAAATACATACTTAGAACAATAATTGGCACAAAACGAAGACCCAGTGTTCCCCCATTGCTGCGGTAGTGAGAACCGAAAATCAAAGCCTTACTGCCATCTGGTGGCTTCCCAGCTCAGCTACAGGGAGCACAGCCAAGAAGAAAGGAATTGTCTCTAAGTACCAGCAAATCCCCTCCCTCGCACAATTCACTTAGATTCTGTTTTAAGGACGCCTCAGCTGTAAAACAGAGGTGACATCTGTCCTAAAAATGGCATCAGGATATGAAGTAAAAGGTAAAATGAACTCTGGAAATTCAGAAATTTTCCATAATGACCACACGTTAAGGGTTTTCGATAGGCAAAAATCTTTCCGTTACTTCATGTTGAAATTCTACGCCTTCTTCATGCAGACTATTTAATGTACAGTGTTGACAATTAGTTTTAGTGAGCACAAGCATTTAGTTACTGAAGCGTGTAGGTTGTGATAATTTAAATAAAACATATCAAAAAATAATTCTTATGCTAACAAAGAAAACATACGCCAAAAACCGGAAGCGGAAGCTTTATTTGACCTACCTTTCCAGCTGTTTCCAGTTCCTTCTTATCTCTTTTGGCATTTCCGGCCAACATCTTCATTTCCACAATTCCTGACACAGCAATAATGGGGACAACCGATAACAGCAGAAGAGTTAATTGCCAACCGTATATGAATGATATGACAATGCCAGTCCCCAGGTTGGCTGTATTCTGTGCAATTAAAGCCAGCCTGGTCCCAGTGGCCTGGAAGAGCAAGAGAGAGGCAGTTATGTTTTCAGGTGCAAATCCATGAGCCGCAGTCTCAGGCCTCCTGGTCGGAATGTCGACGGGGGCTGGATGCCTGTGCCAACATGCGCCCCCTTTGTCACAGTGAGGCCAGGACGCCCATGCATCACTCCTGAGGCCCACAGGTCCTTCTTCACTCATGCCTTTCAGCTCTCATTTCTCTCCTGCCCATGTGAATTCAGGACTACAGAGCCGATAATCAGCTACTCATCTTGGGGAGTAGGCTGCGAGGCACACGTACTTTTTCGTGAAGGCCCCATTTACACAGGAAAGTAACCCCTGTGTGCCCCGGCCATTTTAAAGAATATTTGCTTTAAGTATGTAAGAGAGAAGTCTACACACTTAAGAGCCCACCTGTTGCAAAGCGGACATGTCCTGAGAGGCCACGATAAAGCGTACAGAAACATGAATTATGGTGTGTACCACTCAGAAAACAGGGCTGGTGCAGACGACACTGAAGTTGCTTGGGCTGTGTGATCATGGTGAGCTTCACAGTGACAGGCCTCAGCTCCAGGGGTGGGACCCAGGCCAGAAAGGGGGCATGGTATTTCCCAGACAGAGTTATTGGTTCAGGGTCCAGCATATGACCCAAATTAGCCTGAATCAGATCAAAGGGAAGGCTGCTCGTTTGGTGGTTGAGGTACAGGTGGGTGCTCTTTCCCTGGGTGGGAAATTAGCTTGTAGCTCTGGTTACCATGCGCAGCACCCCGCAAGGGACAGAGCCACAGGATGGAGCCAGCACTGAGGATGGAAAGCCACTCAGAGGCCCCCACACGAAGGGGACCTGGGTCCTTCACGATAGTTTTGAGCCAGTGGATCGATCAACCCTGAAGTCTAGCCTTGCTCTTTCTTATTTAGGCCAGTTTGAGTTTTCTGTTATTTCTAGCTGAAAGCAACTTAACAGATGCAGCTATGCCACGCGTTTATTCAAAACCATATTAAAGGAAATGGTATTAGAGCGCAGCCTACGTACTCCTTGTACTTGGGAGGCGTCGGTGGCGAGTCTCGTGGAAAGTGCACCAGTACTGTTTCTGTGATCATCAAACCAGCTCATGTCCTACGGCACAAAACATACCTTTGAATTAGTTCAAGATTCAAACAAGCAAAGAAAACCCGATGAAACCTTGAAAACCCTCAATGCTGAGAAGGGATCCACACTTAACTTGGGTGTTGGCGTTCAGAGGGGCCTGACACGCAGCAGAGAGCCCTGGTCCCTGCCCTGGGCACCCCCCGCAGAGCCCCCCAAGACCTAAGCCCCAAGGCCACTCTGCTGCTGTGCAGGGATAGCACCTCTGATGGGGCAGGTGTGTGTGGAAGACTTGTCCAGGCTGCAGCCGCGCTCCCTGCCAGCTTCACCTGGTGGCATGTGCATGCGGTGTTCTGTCACCCAGGGCCCACGGCTAGCACCACGGGCACTTCCTTCTGCCACAGAGGGGTCTCTTACGAAGGCAGAGGGGCTGAGCCATGCTGGGCATGGCTCTCTTGTGAATTCTGAGCATGCGAAAATCAGCCCTGGTTTCTCACTGTGTTATTGTTTTGTTTTTTTAAACACAAATAAAAGAGTGTATCTTAGAAACGATTTTAATCATAAGCTACTCATCCACAGCATCTTTTAGTTTCGTATGAAATAATTTTCCCTACATAGCAACAGTTTAAAAGGTACTGAAAAAAAAAAGGTCTGTAAACCCAGAATTGCTAAAATATGATTCATGCTTTGCGCCCTTTTACAAGCAGGAAAGTAATCAGTTCCGGTCAGCTGGATGAACAATATCCTGGCCCTCTCCTGAGGCTTCTCTATAAAAATAGAGAATCGCCTTTACACATTTTCCCACATGTCCTGCACTAGACTCTGAGTCTCCCCAGTGGGCAGACAATGCATATAGAACCAGCTGCCAGCTCGCTGTCTGGGACACAGCGGGCAACAATTTAGTGAATTTACGAGTGGAAATGTGAAAACAGACCTCAGGCAAGTTAGAAACAATCACCCCTCAACGTTTGGGGAAACCTAAGTTAGCATGGTTGACTGCGGTACGAGTCGTACCAACCTCTTTTTCCTTTGCTTAAAGGCACCCTGCAGTCTCAAATGACTCGCCAGGGCTTGTGTGGAATCCAGAGAAGGGATACAGGTCCTTGAAATGACGACTTCCACATGGATAGAGATAGTTGCAAAATAAGCCGAAAAAGCTACCTAAATTGTACTCCTATGAAAACCCTGAGAGGTCTCTGGGCATTGAAGGACCAATCCTTGCACGAACAACCGGGGGTGGGGACAACATGAAATAAGGACAAAGAGGCTTATAATGAAGGGGAACAGAACGCACTCTCCAGCGCATACACCCACCTGTCTCAGCATCGCTTTAAAAGCCATTGACCGGAGCCTGGTGGTGAGGATCTCGCCAGCTTTCCCAAAGGTGAAGCCCTGGTTGAGAGAAAAACAAAACAAAACAAAACTGTAGTATTCTGACACAAGTGGGTGTGTTCCCACTGATTTTTACAATACTTATATATTACTCAATGATTCAATTAACACAGGCTGTGAACAAACACTAATTAAAAGTCCTGACTTAGCCCTGGCTGGTTGTGGCTCAGTGGATTGAGCAGCAGCCTGCAAACCAAAGGGTCCCTGGTTTGATTCCCAGTCAGGGCACATGCCTGGGTTGTGGGCCAGGTCCCCAGTGGGGCCACGTGAGATGCAACCACACGTTGACATTTCTCTCCCTCTCTTTCTCCAAATCTTTTTTAAAAAGTCCTAACTTAAAAATTCATGTACTGCTATGTCATTAGTATGTAATTGAGATGAAAAACCTTAAAAATATCCAGTTTTTGCTTCTGAACCATTCTACATAGGTTTCCTTCTCAAAACTTTCAAGGACAACATCTCAGTGAGAACAATACTGCTGTCTAGTAACAACTTTCAGCGTGTTCCTAATCCTTGAGGCAAAATAGTACCAAAAGCCCGAGCAGGGATCATTTCAGCTCATGGGGAGGAGGGCGGGTCTGGGTAAGATGCTCTGGACGAGTTTGCTGGTTAGGGCCTGTCCTGTATAAAAGCCCCGTGCCAATCATGTCTAAGATGTGGAAACCCCATTAGGTCTTGATTAATTGGTAATTAATCAATCCACATTAATAAAGAGTTAAAATCTAATTAACAGATCATTAGTCTCCATCCTCTAACTGAATCTAGACTCTATGAGAAGGACCAAATCATAGGTACCTACCTGAAGGAAGAAAGTAAAAAAAGAAGCAATCCCCAGGCCCAAAAACAGTAGTGAGATCATGTTGCACCTCTGTTGCTTGAGTTCATCGTCCCCTGGTCCAAAAATCTACAAAAGCACATTTAAAACACCACTTGGTTTACAGGATCCTTGTTGATTCCTCCCATAAACAGTGGCTGGGGCATCACATTTTAAAAAGTAAGCTTTGAAATATGTGGGCTATTTTTACTGGGGTAAACTATGCATTACATACAATATGCTGTTTTAACCATTTTTAAGTATACAATTCAGTGGTGCAACCTTCACTATTATCATCCCCAATGCAAACTCTGCACCCATTAGCAGTAACTCCCCATGCCCGTCCCCCAGCCCTCTGGGGCCCCTATTCTCCTTTGCGTCTCCATGGATTTGAGGACTATGTGGTTATTAACACGGCTGGCAGCACTGCACGTGGACTGTGCGTGGTTGTGGTTTTGGTGTCTGTCCCTCTTCCTCTGCACTGGCTGTCGCCTCAGCCTGAGCTCTTTCCTGCCCCCAGTCCCAGCCCTTTACCCCGACTGCTGCCATCGCCAGATTCTGCTTTCAAAACACTGGTCCTCCTTTGACACAGGATGTGTTTTGTTCTGCATGTGTAGTAAATTATATGAGAGAGGACCTGGTTTACTTTGTTTCCTGCTGTATCTCCCGTGCCCGGCGCAGTGTTTGGCACACAGGAGATACCCAAGATACAGAGATGGTCCACACAGCTCTCGAGGTGCAAGGCAGTTGGGGGCTGCACTATTTTTAATTTAAAAACATCTGGAGGGTCCTTTCTAATTTCTTTATTTCTTGGCTTGAGGTCTTCAGTGTAGACCAATGTCCTATGTTATAAGTATAATGAACTCAACACGATGGATAATAATTCATTGTTAACAAAAAAGTCTCCCCGAAAATGTTATTGGTTAACTAAGGTTATACAATATCCATATTGATTTTATGGAGCCTTAGATACTCCTGACAACTTCCTATAAATACCACCCTCTCATTGAATTTAACAGTGGGATAGCGTGAGTTTCCCTTCTCAGTCTTACACTCCCCAAGCATTGGAAGGACTGCTAAAATAGTGACGTGATGGCTATACCTTTTTGAATACTTACTGAGAGGCAGATACTTAAAAGCTTCCCATATAGTTACCTATATAATCTCTTCTCATCCTCAGCTATCCTGTGTGGTCAATTTGTTTTATGGATGAAGAATCTGAGGTACACAGAAGGACCACATCTTGCCCAAGTTTGGTCAGCTATTAAGTGGTGAGGCCAGTCTGTGCCCAGAGCCTGGCCTGTACCCACTATGGCTGGACCTTTTCCCTCCTGCACCAGTTCCCAGCCTCCCAGTACAATGAGCATCTCCTCTCCACAAGGGGTACAGACCATCACCTGATACCAGTTTGACGAGAGCTCATCAGTATGCCTCCTTCATTGATTTTACAGTTTATAATTTCATTGATATCATAACTTGGAATGGTTCATACTTTTTCTTTGGTGTCACATTTTTCCTCAAAAGGGAATTAAAAACTTGGGCTCGGTTGAATTTGACACTGTTTTAATCCCAAATAGACCCATTGGTGAGGGTGGCATGAGAACTGATGTAATGAAGTGATTTAATTCAAGCTATTAAGCAACGTTTTCAAACTCACCGCCATGATCTCTGAGAATATGACTGAAAATGCTGGCTGGAGCGCCCCGTTGGCAATGGCACATACCGTGCCCACCACAAAGTAGGGCCATTCCGTTCTGTTCAGCTTCAGGATCTTCAGGAAGGATACCGGTGGAACAGTTTCATCCTAGAACACACCAGGAGAGACTGGTGATACCACAACAGCTACCACAGTTCATAGATGTAGAAAAGACAGGGCATCGCCCTCAAGGAACATGCAAACTAGGCGCAGACCACCTACAGCAAACTATGTGCCCGAGAGTAGAACAGTGCACTGAAAAGGTTGACAATGTTCTCTGATAACGCAGCATAAGCTGAGTATGAGTTGTTCACCCAAGAAGCAACCTTCATGGTGTGATTGGTCTCGTTCTATCCAGCCTCAGGCCAGTGAGCGGAAGCAGGGTCTGGGCACAAAAAGCCCTGGAATTCAAGGCCCGAGTCAAGTCAGGGATGGCGTTAGCGTCCAATGAGACCATGCCCGTGAAGAGAAGGATAAAGGTCCACACAAATGTGGGATACCAGCATGAACCTGCGAGCATGGGCCTGGTCTGCACCCCCCCCCCCCCTGCAGAACCCAGCCCAGTGCTGCCTTCTCTATGACATGTGCCCAACCCAACCAACCCAAAATCATCATACCCCTTTTCTCTCACCACGGTCCCCTGTGCAGACTTCTCTCCTCATAGCTCAGCTTGCTTTTGTTTGTTGTTGTTTGCACATCTTCTTTTCTAATATGTGAACTTTTTAAAGGTGAAGACAACATCTTCATATCCCCCAAAACTAGCCCTGTGCCTGGCACACACCAGATTCTCAGTAAATGTCGAAGTTAATGTCTGGTCAAGCTTGAAGTATACAGGTCATATAAAGGAAAATATTCCGACTATGCAGCTAATTTAACATTAAACTAGATACAAAAGCTGCCTATGGAATGTCACAGCTTATGGTCACTTAAATAGGTCCTGTCGAAACACAGAACATAGGAGCAAGTTCCACCCAGCCCTCTTTTTGCAAGCCACCCATTTTCTCATTATAGTGCTTTGTTTTTCTCCCCAGTTAACATTATCTTTATGTCCTTGTCTCCAGCCTGACTAATGAGCCGTTTTCTCAGGCTGCTACTCAACACAAGCAGGTCTTCACAGGTCCCTCCAATCGGACCCAATTTCTCCCTTCCCTTGGACACACTGTTTATCCCCCTATGATGGCACTTGTGCAAGCCTTGCTGACCAGGGGCATTTTCGCTCCCCCCTGTGCCTTTCTCCGAGAGAAGTGCTTGTCTAGCCCTGCAGACTCTACAGGCCTAGCAGCGTGACTCTCAAGATAAATGAGAAACTGAAAGTGACTACTTCCATGCCAAAAAGGGGGAAAGTGTTTACTTATCCTACTTGTGATAATTCAGCTCCACAAAAGTACAATTGTTATTCTCTCCATCAATTCCCCAAGATGAAGACCTCTAGAGGGCTCTCGTAATTTCTGTAGTAAATAACACAGAATAACCAGGCGGAGGTGGGCAGAGGTGACCAGATGCAATGAACGCTCAGTAGGCTCAGTTTCTTCAAGTCAACCAACACCAGAGTAAAAAACAGACTCACCCTTTATCAATAAATAACATCCAAGTGAATTCTCAAACCATTTCTTGAAGTAAAAAAAAAATCTTTTTAAAAAATGCAAAATTTTGTTATTTCCAGCCATGCTCCCCTTTTCCTTAGTAAGAAAAATCCAGCCCAATTCAGAGTGGCAACGCACACAGCAAATTGATTCCATTTTCTACCCTCCCAAGAAGTGCACTTAGGTATGGCCGTGGTTACCGCCAATGACGTGTAAGTAAAAGTACCGTGTGGAACTTCTAGAAAACCTTTGTTTTTCTTGCTGCTTGGAACAGGGGTGTGATGGCTGAAGCTTCAGGAGCCACTTTATATCACTGAGGATGGAAGCCACACGCAAGGATAAGAGAGAGAGAAAGACGAAAGGAGCCTGAACCTCCTTTTAGGCTGTGGAGACGCCATTCTGGCCCTGGGTTTCTCACCTCTAACATTTTGCTTCTTTAATCCTCACCTAAGGAAATTCCTGCATTGCTTTCAGAGGTAGAGGAAGGGAGAGAAGAAGGAAGAGAAAGAGGGAAGCATCGAAGTGGGAGAGAAGTTAGGGCTCGGCTGCTTCCTGCACATGTGCAGACGAGGGATCAAACCCACAACCGAGGTCTGTGCCCTGACCGGAACCAAACCCACAGGACTCAGTCACCGGATGATGCTCCAACCCACTGAGCCACCACGGCCAGGGTCTAAGATTTCTTTTTATGTGAAAAGGAGGTGACTCTTAATTTGCTTAAACTGGTGTTATTCTGGGTTACCTAGTATAGGTAATCACACGTGAGCCTACCTAATAGAGTATACAACTATCAGCACCTCTTACAGTGGACCAGCCTTACGGGCACACTTGATTTTATTGCACATCCCAGGTGTTCTGTTTTGTTTTGTTTTTTTTCTACAAATTGAAGGCAAGACCCTTCCTGAAAGATTACTACCCACTTTATTACAGTGGCCTACAGCCAAAGCTGCAACATCTCTGAGGTATACCTGTATTTATCTCTGTATCTCAAAGATGAATGGGATATCTCATTTTGATAATAAACATTTAAACTCAAAGGCTAAGTTTTTGGATGTACTTTTTCCCATTGGAAATTCATTTTTAATTGGAATCGATTTCAATTCATTGTCAAATACATTTAACATCTGAAATTTCCTTTTTTTTTCAAGAACAGTGTAGCTCACAGTAGGAATTGCCTATGCCTGCAACATACCTGCAAGGCTAAGAAGTTCAACAGAAAAACTATACAATAAAAGATTTAAGTGAAAACAACTCACAAGCTCATTGGTTTCCTCCTCAAGGCCATTCTGGTACCTCCGTGAATTCCTCAGGCTTTTTTTAGTAGAATTCCTAAGTATTTGAGATTTCCAGCCATTTGGGGCCATACCCGTGGCAGCCTTTCCATCATTTAGTTCAACTTCAAGTTTGTCGGACTGGATCTGGTTTCCTGATGTCTGAGAGAAGAACAAAATGTTCACGTGTGTGCATGTGTGCGTGTTGGCACCTGTGCACAGACCTGTACAACCTCCAAGTTTAGAACCATAAAGCCACTTTCACTATTACATGTGTCAAGGCTGTTAGATTTCATACCAGCATCACACTCAAGATCAGCTGCAAAACTGTAGAGAAGTGTACCAACACGTGGAAGTAAAAAAGGTTGAAAGGGACAGAAAGGTTATATTCAATCTGATCAATGTGAAAATTGGAGTATAAAAATACTTTCTAAGAAATACAAGGCAATTTTTTGTGATTCAGCAGGAATGTAGGAATTTCCTCAATGTGTACGAATCCAGAGAACAAGGCGTGACCACCAGGAAAGGGAAGAACAATAAAGAGAAACATCACCAAGGGCTCTCTTAAAGCTACAGACAAGAAAAAGCTGGCCACTCCCTCACACAAGGCAATTAAACTGCTTTCCTTGACTGACTGAGCACCATCAGCCTTTCTTCCTCACAGTCCTGCTCAGGGTCACACCTCATCTCAGGTGACCTGCAGGCTCAATCTCATTGCAGGTTTTTGAATTAATTCTCTCCCTAAGGGGGTAGGGAGGGATAATTTAAGGACCTCTATGTAGCTTAATGCTAGGAAAGAAACTATCAAGCCAGCCTTGCTAAGAGTCTTGAGTCTGGTTCCCTGTTTGCTGCCTTTGTGTCTGAGTGCACATCTTAAGGGTTCGTCCAGGACCTCAGCCCCTGTGGTGCTGACTTGTTCTTGCTCCTCCCCCTCAGGTTCCATCTCCAACCCAATCCGATGACTAGTGCCTTACTGCATGTCAGTAACCTGTCTCTTTTGGTCTCTGCACATTATCCGATCCTAGCTTTCCACTTATGTTTTCAACACCCAACAGAATATTGCCCATGTGCCTTGAACCACATACAAAGGTGTGCCCTGCTTGGCAGACCCCTGTACTTGCTTTACAACTGGTACCATTTTACACCATCTCCCAAACAAAACCCAACCTAGACTCAAGACTTAGTCTTGTAACTGATCCTTGCCTCCTCACTCCCACCCACTCCCACACTATCAAATGTGTTTTCCTAAAGGGTAGCTCTGCTCACATCGTACCGCAGCTCAGAAGTCTTCCTCAGCAGTCCACCACCTACTCAAGCCTGGCTCTCCCCCAATTTAGTTCATGGTAATTCACACCAGGCCATCTCTCATGAATGCCTCCTGGTACCTATTCCTTCTTTCATAATCTTGCCCACGCCATCAAGGACAGCCCTTCCATTAAGCGCATTCTGATTTTAGCCTCTTCCTAGGACCAAATGAACACTATCCCCCCTGTGATATTTTTTTTCCTGTGCTTTCCCTGAAGTCCTCATTTAGTGGGTGTTGAAGTCACCGAGCTACAAAGCCAAGATGGCCCTTGTCACCAGGTGATCACAAGTATATTTAAAACCAATAGCCCTCATTTCTTACACCTGAATGTACTTCAGCTGGCTCAGATATTTAACTGTAAAAAGTGTAACAAAAAAGTGTTCAAAAGAAATATGGGTGAATATCCTTTTTAAGAACAACGCCAGATCCTGAAGACATGGAAGAAAAAAATAGTTTAATTACATACAATTAAAAAATTTTATGGCAGCTAAACAAACAATAAAGTGAAATTCAAAGAACAAAGTAGGAAAAATATTTTCAATATGTGTGGGAGAGAAGCACATTTCCTTTTATGTGCAAGGTGCTTGTATAAATCAATAAGAATATTCTAAACAACCCAACCACAAAACAGTCTATTACAAAAAAAGTTTATCTCACAGAGGAAAAAAGTACAAATGGCCAATGGACATGTGAAAGCAGACTCCATTTCATGAATAACTGAGGAAATATGGAGTTACTCGTTAGCTCTTTCAGGTTGCCAAGATGAAAAATAAAGACCGGATAGCTGTCAGCAGAAGTTTGGGTTATGGGAGACTTTCAAATTTCTAAAATACTCATGACTGAATTTTTTTTAAGTGCTTGGATTTTAAGCAATAAGAATGCCTTACATTTACAATCTGAGAAAATTGAGGTACAGCTCAAAGAAACAATTGAGACTGAACAGCCCACCTAATGGAAAAGCTGTGTTCTCCCTGCTTAGAAACAAAAGGGTGTCTCTGTCCTAAAGAATAAGTTCAAAATGGTTTGGGCATCTTCTTTTATTTTCCTCCTCTCTCACCTTTTTCTCCTTCAGGACTATTTCACTGAATTCTGAATTAAAGTCTCAAATGCATACTTTTAGGTATCTTCCTGAATACTACTTAATCCTCAGTATGACATTAGTTGTATGATACTTCAATCATGAAAAGAACATTATATGGAGGAGCAAACAGTGGAAACACTTCCTGGGAAGCAGGTACCTGCATGTTAACAAGCTTGAAGTACAGCCCTTCCTTCTTCATCAGTTCACTGTGGCTTCCCTGCTCCACGATGACTCCGTCCTCAAACCCAGCGATGACGTCCGCGTTGCGGATTGTGGACAGCCGGTGTGCGATCACTATGGTGGTCCGGCCTTCTCTGGCCTGAAGGGGAAAAGGACAAACGTGCAGGGCAGCAGGTTTACAATGTCCAGACACCGTCCTTTAACATGCACAATTAAGCACTTGGCAGACTGGTCTGCGGTTGCTGAGGCAGTAGCTTTCCCTCCCCATGTGATTAGGGCACAAAGGCATCATTCATGTATAAAAGGTCAAAGTGCCACTTGAGCTCTGGGTCAGACGGGAGGCCAGTCCCTTCAGCGTGAGGAGGAGTAAACTCGGAGGCATGAGTAGTGTCCGTCTTTACTTAAGAAACAGGAAAAAAATTGGACCCTTCTCAAGTGTGGTCATACTCGCCCCAGGAGCGCTGGTCCTGTGATACGGCACACTAGGGACTTGAGCAAAAACACGTTAGGGGACTTATTGGCGCCTGCAGCCTTCTCCAGAGCACTTCTGTGGGGCTGCTTTGGAAGGGCCTGATTTTACCTGTGATTCTGGTGCACTGCACGCAGCAGTCTAGGTGACAATGTGCCTTGAGGTCTGAACGGTTCAAAAATGTCCTTCCAAGTCTATCTGAATCACAACCTCTGAAGTGAAGCTAGTAAGTCTGATTTTAATGAGTACCCCAAGTGATTTTTGTATACATGCTAAAATCTACAAATCATCCCTCTAAGTAGTTCAGTGAACTGGCATGCTGACTTGGTGGGTTTATTCATGGGCATGTAAACCCTGGAAAGTGGAAAGAAAAAAAAAGATGGTGAGGGACAAATACCATATGATCTCACCTTTAACTGGTACATAATCGACAAAAGAAAAAAGCAAACAAAATTTAACCAGAGACGTGGAAATTAAGAACAATCTAGCAATAGCCAGAGGGGAAGGGGGAGGGGACAGTGGGGAGAAGGGTTTTCAGGAACCACTATAAAGGACACATGGACAAAACCAAGGGGGAGGGTAGAAGCAGGGAAGGGAGGTGGGTTCAAATGGGGCGGGGGGGGGGAGTGGGGGAGGAGAAAGTGCAGACAACTGTAAGTGAACAACAATAAAGTAATGTATGAAACAAAAATATATAAATAAACCCTGGAAAATGCTCATCAAATTATTTTTGCTATGTCATTAATAATGGTTACTCTTCTTGATGCTCATTAGGCTAATAGTTTCTTTTTTTTCCTACAGGACTTTATTTTCTTTTCAATGAGGTTTTTGTTTGTTTGTTTTGCTTCACCCCTTTGCCCTTCTCACCCAGCCTCCCAACCCCCCACCATCTGACAGCTGTCAGTCTGTTCTCTGTGTCTCTGAGTCAGTTTCTATTTTGTTTGCTAGATAATTTTGTTCATTAGATCCCACAGCTGAGTGAAACCATTTGGTATTTCTCTTTCTCTGACAGCCTTATCTCAATTGGCATAATGTTCCAGGTCTCCCCATGCTGTTGCAAAGGAAAATATTTCCTACTTTTTTACAGCCAAGAAGTATTCCATTGTGTAAATGTACCACAGCCTTTTTATCTACTCATCTACTGATGGGCACTTGGGCTGCCTCCAAATCTTGGGGATTGTAAATAACACCACGATGAACACAGGAGTGCATCTATTCTTTTGAATCAGTGTTTTGGGTTTCTTTGGATAAATTCCCAGAAGTGGAATTGCAGGGCCATAAGGCAGTTCCATATTTAACTTTTTCAGGTGTCTCCATACTGCTTTCCACAGTGGCTGCACCAGTCTGCATTCCCACCAACAATGCCAGAGGGTTCCCTTTTCTCCACATCCTCACCAGCACTTGTTGTTTGTTGACTTATTGATGGTAGCCATTCTGACAGGCATGACCATTTCTATTCTGAGGCAATAAAACCGGGTTAGGTTGGTCATTAGAGTATAGCTTAATTCAGCTAAGTAGTTAAAAATACAGGTTAAAAATAAGAGGCTAGATTCATAAGAGGCGAAAAAGTGGGACAATTCAAAATGGTCATCGGTTGTTCAAAGGATAAACAAAATGTCTATATCCACACAATGGGACATTATTGCACCATAAGAAGGAATGATACCCTGATGCATGTTTCCACGTGGATGACACAGAAAACACGATGCCACATGGAAAAGGCCAGTCAAAAAGACCACACACCGTATGATTCCACTGACATGAAATGTCCGGAATAGGCAAGTCTATGGAGACAAAAAGCAGCTTAGTGGTTGCCAGGGGCTGGGACAAGAGTCCCTGTGGAGTGGCGAGTGACTGCTACTGGGTACAAGGTATCCTTTAGGGATGATAAAAATAGTCTGCAATTAGATGGTGGTGATGGTTGCCAAGCTTGTGAATATACTAAAAACCAATGAATTGTACATATTAAGAGGGTGAATGTCATGGTAGATGAATTATATCTCAAATTTTTTTAAAAAGCAGCCATAGCCCTGGTTGGCGTAGCTCAGTGGATTGGGCGCGGGCCTGTGAACCAGAGTATCGCGGTTCGATTCCCAGTCAGGGCACATGCCTGGGTTGCAGGCCAGTTCCCAGCAGGGGACACATGAGAGGCAACCATACATTGATATTTCTCTCCTACTCTTTCTCCTTTCCTTCCCCTCTCTCAAAAAATAAATTAAAAAATATTTTTTAAAAAAAAGCAGCCATAAAAATTCTGAAAATTTTTGATGAGAGGGGAATATCTCTAAATTAAAATATAAAATGCAACAACAACTAAAATAGTAAAGTCTGGGGGAAGCTGTCACATGAATAGGCAATTTGACCCACAGAACCAAATGGAGTCCAGAAAGCGATATGAAACAATTAAGAACTAGTATATGATAAATCTGGCATCACCTATCAATAGGGAAAAGATGGACTGCATAATAAGTGGCATTGAGCCACTTGTGTAGCCACTGGGGACAATATAGTGTGATCCTTCAACTTCAGTCCTTGGTCTAAAATAACTAGATGAATCAACTGCGTTTAAATAAATATAAAAGAGCTAAGCCATAAATGGGAAGACTGGAGCACAGGTCTATTGGACGTTTTTAAGACTACCCTTGATTTTTAGTATACAGGTGCCAAAGAAGCATCCATAAGTCTTTACTGATGTGGCAGTTGCACGGCATGGCCTGAAGACATATGGAGAAAAGCACGATCATTCTAAATACATTCATGATACTAACAGAGATTAATAAACTTCTAACAGAGGCTATGTTATCACTATGATCAAAGGTTGATGCAATATCAATACCAACCCCCCCCAAAAAACAAAAACGAAAAACCCAAACAGATTAGAATCAGCTTCGTGAGTGACTGGTAATGCCGAAGACTCAAAGTATATATTTGTGAATTTAAGTTAGTGACTGTCACCCCTGACCAAAAATTTCTGGCTAGACTAGAGATTTGACACAAAGAGATTTTTTTCCCCTGGCTTCTCAGACACCCCCAGTGATGACAACACATTGGCAAATAAACACCCTAGATTCAAAGGCACCCACTATTAAGAATTTGGACCCTGTATTAGTTTGGGATGTGTAAGGATGAAAGGCAGGCCCAAACAAAGGGGCTACTAATCCATTAGCCTTTCTGGAACATCTGGGGGAAAAAAGCATGAAATGGAACCTTTTGGAGTCATTTCATAAAATCACCATGGAGGCTAACCGTTGGTTCTTTTCTTACTGCTCCTGTCTGGTGACGCTATGAGCAAGAGAATGCAAGCAGGCACGAAACGTTGTGGTTATTGATTTACTTGAAAAACCAAAATATCAAATCTGCTTTTGTATTCTTTAAGATCTGATATTTAAAAACTTATTTTTTGACAAGCAGCTGCTATCTACTTAGTCAAAGGCTAAAGTGGTCATTAATTTTTCTTTTTTACTGCAAACACGAATGATCTCAATGAGCTGGACCATGATAGTATTTATTTAGGCTCTACTAAGTGCAAGGCACTGCACTAAGTGTTTTAAAGACACAAATATGAACAATTTGTTAATTTTGCCTCTTAAGGGGCTTGTTCTTTCTGGATCATATAAATAAATAGCTCACTATGGTAAGTTGGTGTCACATGAGAGGCACTGATTGATATGTAAAGGATCCACAGAAGGAAAATACTATTTTTCCAGGATAGGTAATCATTAGAAAGGGATAATGATAGATATAACAGTGACATGTCTTTATACTTCAGAGAAAACACAATAAATTACAAAATTCAACTTTCCAATGTTAAAAGAAAGTTGGTTTGTAACTGAGAATGACTGGCCAATTGACTCACTATAATCATTGGGGGGGGGCAGTAATAAGGATTTCCCTTTCAAAGATACGGTTTATTGTCTGCAAAATACATCAGTTTAATTATCCTGCAAATTATAGAGTCAGGTAGATTATAAACTGTTCACAGCAACATGGTAGATTGAACACGGCAATGAACACTTTGCAGCTACTCCCATCCAAAGGTAGAGTCAATCTCCCCACCTCCTGAAATCTGGGCAGTCCTTGTGCCTTGCTTTGACCAGAGAAGCATGTGAAGGAATTGATGCTTATTTAATTTCTGGAGCCGAGGCTTCAAGGGGCCTTAGAGCCTGTGTGTTTGCCATCTGTGAACACTACCTTGAACCCACAGTGAAAGGAAGCTGGTCTGGTCTACTGGAGGGTGAGAAGCCTCATGGAGGAGAACCCAGCTGCTTCAAGTGACAGCTGTCATTGGCTGGGCACACGCTTGAGGCCACCTTGAACATTCCAGCCCAGCTGACCCTGAGCTGGAAGTAGCAGCCTGAGTGAGATGAGGCAAAAAAGCAGCAGAGGCACCATACCAGCCAACCCACTAAGTCTGACTTAAAGAAATGGATAGGAAAGCTGGTATTAGATTGGGATGCTACTGTAACAAAAATCTAAAACACGTGCCATTGGCTTTGTGATTGTGATCTGAGTGGTAGGCAGTGTCTGAAGGGAGTTGATGATATTGTTAGCAGAGAAAAGTAAGGAAAGTAAGGAAATGACTATTGGAGGCTGGAAAGAGGGTGGCTTGTGTTAATTATGTAACCTTGGGATAATTAGAAAAATGTATCCAGCAGTACCTTGTAAGAGAA